TTCATTGTTTAGCACTGTTAAGGCTAAGGAAAATCAAACACATGAACTTTCCAAATGATGTTTTCTCATTCAAATAGCGAATTGTACAGTGATTACATAACGTAAACCCTATCATACAAGGGTTAATGGAGTTGACCGGTTTGACCAGTTGACTTTGTTTGACTTTGACTTGACCGAAATTTGATGGTTGTCACATAATTAACCGAGTTACTTATGAATCAATCAAATGACTAATCTTAATGATCATAAAATTAAGGTTTTTGACACTATAACACAACCAAGTTTGGCCACTTTTCACATTTAGTCACTCAAGTTTTTTTTGTACTCAATTGGTCCTTAACGTTAGGAAATATCGGCTAAACGGAACAACCGGTTGTATTGCTTATGTGGCATTACATTAAATAATATATTTACTTTAACTTATCCACATAAGAAATCAAAGTCAGAATAATCACATTTATTCACACACACCACTACACACCTTCTTCGTTCTTCATTTTTCTTATCTCTCAGTGACCAAGAACGATAAAAACTAGGGTTCCAACTCGTTTCTCCGATTAAAGTCAATGATTAGGCACCCAACTGACAATGTCAACCTCGAGGCCAAACCCTAATAGACTCTACCATGTAGTAGAGCTCAACTTCAAAGGTGTTTTTCTTCAAAATCTTTTCTCGTATAACCATGGTATCAAATTCACATTCAATGATCATGATTTTTCTGGAATGACATACTCTTGGTGTACCACCTTTCTTGAATGGTTCATGCAAGAAAGTATAAACAAGTTATACTAGTGTGAGCCAGGTAAGCCCTTATTATCTGGGATAATTGCTATTCGTAACGATGGAGAATATGCTACTTTCGTTTTTTATGCTTATGGAGTCGATGGTTTAGTTTCCCTATATGTGGACCATGATGGTAAAGGAATAGAGGATTGGTTTGCCTCTCAGATAGAAGAAGAAGAAGGTGATGATTCATATATTGATGGTGGTGAAAATGAAGACGAAATTGATAACCTTAGAGATGTGGAGGTGAACTTTAATAAGGATATAGTCACTATGAACTAAACAAAGGTTGATGAGTTTTTGCCTTAATTATATGGTCAAAAGGAAGAAGGAAATGATAACAACATTGGTGATGATGTCGATGGGAGTGAATAGGAGGCAAATGTAACTCAACATAGGTGGTGATGCAGTTAATGATGGTGGTGATGCAGTCAAACATGGTGGTGATACAATCAATGATGATGGTGAAGGAGGTCGTAATGATGGACAAGACCATGATGAGGTGGAACTCACACTTATGGATTTTGATGCATCAGGAAATTGAGAACATGGTCAACAAGGAAATGGACAAGACAATGTGATTGTTAATGAGGTGCATGTGCAATACGAGGTAAGGGAAAGACCAATTACAACCTTTTTAAATAAAATCAGAAGGAAAAACTCTGAAAGGATTATCAAGTTGAAGCTGGCCAAGAGAGTTGGTGATTGAGATGCACCTGGGAATTCTAAATCAAAAGCTCTTGCTATATATTAATTTAATATGCACTTTAATTGTTATTGATGTTAATCTAGAACTTGGTATTTACTATGAAAGTATGTTATTTCCTGTCTTTGAGTCTATGTACTTTAAGTTCGATGTGATGTGAACTTGGTTGTTTGTATGAAACTATGTTATGTGAACTTGGTTGTTTGTTAGTAAGTTGGTTGTTATTTTCAGGTATTTGTTGTGTTGTTATTAAGTTGGTTGTTTGTTATTAAGTTGCATGCATGGGAAGGACTTATGTTGTTAGAATGAATGGCAAGGACATATATGGCAAATTTTAAATTGCCCACAACATAGTGCCAATTTTAAATTGTCATAGATTTTGTCCTTTTGACAGTTTGCACACAAGGGACCACTGCACATAACTCAATTCAATTTTAAATGGGCCAAGTGTGGTCCATATGCCCGACAATGTGGTTCCCAAAATTCAATTTTAAATGGACCACATACATATCATCAAGTACACAATGGTACAGACCAAGTGGTCCCACAATCTGATTAATAATGCAAAAGAAATGAATTTATGTCTTTCAACCATTACCATTACCATTCATTCATTCATGGGATCTTTCATACATACATTTTACATACAAAAGTTGTTAACAATACGACCATACAAAAACTATATCTACCATACCATTCACCTACCCTGATCTTGTACACATTCATCCAAAACCCAAAAAACATTCTACTGTGATGATCATCTACACACACTACCCAAAAGACTGGATGGAATTATATATCATCAACCATCAATACTAGTGTAACATCCGTTTTCTTGGATGAATCGAATTAGGGTTTCGGAGGGCCAAAAGGTTAGATTTTGTAGAAAAAGGGGTCCTCACAATGTGAGGCATGGAGGCTCACGGCGTGAGGAGGGCCGCATGAATATTTCATCCGGGATTGAGCTCACGACGTGAGCAATAAAAGCTCACGACATGAGGATCGTTGCAGCCCAACCCACAAAGTTTTAGGGTTTCCCACGTATTTAAGCCCCCTTAACGGTTTTAGGGTTCATTTCTTAGCCCCTACCTTCCCATAACTCAGAAAAACCCTAAACCTAATCCATCTTGGTGATTTTGGATCCATTTTAGTGTTTTGGTGGCTAGAAGAAGAAGAAGAAGAGGTTCTAGAGTGCTGGTTCAGCAAGGAGGCTTTATCATAATCATCTTGGGCACATTTTGGACCATTGTAAGTGTCCAAGATCCAATCTTTATGAGCTCAAATTGATAGATCTAAGTTCTAAGCTCCTCTTTGTATATTTATGTGGGATTGCATGCTTGGGATCCATAAAGTTAGCAACTTTATGGATCAATGAGTCATTCTCTATGATTTAGTCTTATGGATCTGAAGTGTGGTTAAAATTTATGAATCTTGTTTGAGTTTGGGGCCATTTATTGTCATTTTGACTTAAGGTGGGTTTAGGACATGCTTGGGGCATGCATGTCCATCAAGTAATCGTTTTATTGGTCTTTGGAGTCATTGTTACCTTCTGAAAGAAGTAGGATTGAAGGCTTAATGGATTAAGGACTTAAAGGTCGATCTTTTAGCCTCCGACTGTTCTCACAACGTGAGACACAAGGTCTCACAACGTGAGAAATTTTTGGTCCCGTTTCTAGTCATCTGTTTGGAGCTCACGACGTGAGGGAAGCCCCATTGACTTTCCTTTGACTGAGTTGACTATGTTGGGTCGTGATGAGTGGGATCTGATTTAGTAAGCTCTCACGATGTGACCAAAGTTGATCACGACGTGAGATGTGGTTCTTGGGCTTTTGGGCCTTGTTGGGCCCTAGTTCCCTTTATGTAGTCATTTTTGGTGCTTGGGCCCATTTGGAGCTTTGGGTATCTTTTAGGAGTTTGGACCTCCTTGGATTAGGCCCAAGATGGGTTTTGGGCCAATTAGGAAGTTGGGTTATAATGGACTCTTGATGCTATTGGTGGGCCTCGGATTTCGGGCCAAGTGAGGAAAGGGTAAAATGGACTTTTACCTTGAGGGTTGAATAATCGGACTTTGATCCTAGCTACGGGTTTTGGAACCAATTATTATTTCGGTATTATTTGTTGGTGCTAGCGCGCGGGGATTTTCCGGATCGACAGTCTGAGTTTTTATCTGAGATATTCGGCATTTGAGGTGAGTCTTCCTTCGCAATAGCTGTGGGTCGAAGGCACCAAGGTCGGCCCACTAGTTATGTTATAGCATGATGATTGTCTTTGTGATAATTTTCAGTCATGTTTGTATTTGTATGATGACTTAGTGATTATAGTTATGACATTATATGGTAGTAGTAGGGGTTAATTAGACCCAATATCCGGTTGAAATAGACCGAAGGGGTAGGCCAGTACCCAGATATGCTTGGCAATGTCCGTTTGAAATAGACCGAAGGGGTAGGCCAACACCCAGATATGCTTGGCAGGGTCCGATTGAAATAGACCGAAGGGGTAGGACGACACCCAGATATGCTTGGTAGTATCCGGTTGAAATAGACCGAAGGGGCAGGCCAGCACCCAAATATGCTTGGCATTATGTTGTTCGGTATGTTTGTATGGTATGTTTGATTGGTATGTGGTAGTTTGGGGAACTAACTAAGCTTTGTGCTTACGGTTTCAGTTTATGTTTCAGGTACTTCCAGTTTGAAAGGAAAAGGGTTCGGTTTGATCGCAGCGCATCTACCCATGTTTACGCATTATGATGATTTTGGGATTTTACTATGATAATTGTTTTATTATATAGTACTATTGAATATTTAGAAAAAGGATGTGTAATTTTGACTTAAAATATAATTAATGTTTTGGTGGAATTAAAAAAAAAGAAATTTTTACCTCATAATTTAGGGATGTTACGAATTGGTATCAGAGCCTTGGTTTGATGGATTCGGACATACTCTCGGGTATGTCTGAACTCGAACTGAGGGTTTGGTGAAATTTTCATAAAATAAATGTTATATTAAAGGAGTTTCTAAAAAAAGAAAGGGTGGTATGCGTGTAATTGACCGAGCTCAAGTAAGTGATTCCCAGAATACCCATACATGTTGATATGTTATATGGTTTAAATGTTTGCATGCTAGGATAAGGATAGGGATACTTTCAGGAATCACATGATAGATTGGCCTGATATGTGATGCCTTGTAGCCTAGGAAGCATGGGATACTATATTGGGAAATATGTAGTGGTATCGGGGATTGCTAAGTGTATGCTTTAAGAATTGTATACGGTTAGGATCATATAGCCCTAGAATGATTGATTTGGACTTATTTCATGTTCCTCGTTTGGTTGTGGTCCTAGGGTAGAGTCTTTTATTCAACAGTCTATTTGATCATGTATTGTGTATAATTTCCATGCATGAGGCAACCGACATCGAGAATGAAAGTTCCTAGCATGAGTTGTAGTATGGGAGTTTAAATGTTCTTTGGTTATTCTATGGATTGGAGTGCCACTGCACGAATGTTGCTTGCTTTGTGCTTTTTATAACTCTTAAGTGATGTGTGTTAGCTATTAAGTGAATATGTCAAGTCACATGTGACAAAGGATGGATAATCTCAGAGTGACAGATTTTGACCCTATTGGGCAGCTCTTGTTTTAGTCTAACCGTTATAGGGATGAGTCTTTTACTCGAAGGATTATCTAAGCTTCTTTACATGTGATTGTATTCATGAGGTGGGTAAATGAAATTATGGGGAGTTCTTCAGCAGCTGATGGCAAGGTGAGGTCGGAAACCTAGGCAAGCCTAGGAAGTGCTTCAGTGGGTTGGTGGCGTTGTTTATTGAGTATTTTGAGTATCGTTTTGAGAAGGTGACTTAGAGGATTCGAGATGATTCTGGAGGAAAGTACGGATAGGTGTGGAAGGTAGTATTGGGCCCGTACTACTGAAAGCATAGGATCCATACTTGAATCGGGGAGAGTCTTGGAGAATCTAGAAAGCCTGTGGAATGAGGATTATTATATATGTTCTGATCATTGGCATGATTGTTTTGTCTCAGTGTGGAGATGAGCACACTAGGAGGAGGTTTAGGTTCTGGTTCAGGATCAGGTGTAGGAACTGAGCCAGTTGATGAGCAGATGTGGGAGTTTATCTTGTCGAAGATCACTCGCGGCATTCAGGAGCAGACTCCTGTAATCTTTGGTACAACCAAGGAAGGGTATATGAAGATTCAGATGAGCATATGGGCGCATCCCGTATTGAGGTTATGGCTATTGTTGGAGCTCGTGATCTTTCCTTCCGTGAGTTTCGTGTTTGTGGAGCTCTCGCGTTCTTTGGGGAAAAGGACCCCATTGCCAGTAGGAGATGGTTAGCAGATATGGCTAATGCTTTTAGGATGAGTTTCTACCCCGAGGGGTCGAAGGTCAAATTTTCCTTCTGTCTTCTGAATGACAGAGCCCAAGATTGGTGGGAGGGGGTAGACTTCGCTTTGGGGAGGCGAGGCCCTGGAGACGATGTCAGCAGGGAGTTTGTGATTTTATCAGGGTGTGAGACCCCGAATGATATAATTTCTAGAGCCCGCGAGCATGGGATTGATTTGGAGCCTCTCAAAAAGAAGAAGCCAGAGCAGACTTGGGTTTCAGTAGGCCAAGCGAAGAGGCCCAGGACTCGAGATTCATGTTCGGGAGGCCATCAGGGTCGGGGTCGTTGTGCCAAGTACGGGAGGACCCATGAGGGAGGATATCGTAAGACAGGTAGAGGATGTTTCATTTGTGGTCAGATGGGTCATTGTAGTAGGGACTGCCCCCGTGGGTCGTCCTAATGTGTTTTCATTGCAACCAGGTGGTTCACGAGAAGGTCGATTGTCTGATGTGGGGGGTGGAGCAGTGAGTGCACCTGCT